ATTATATTCGAATTGACTAAAATAAAAAAAATATTATTAAATAATACAAATTATAAAGCGTTTATATTTAAAATTTATTTAAAAAAGCGAAAAAATATGTATAATATTATTTTAAATGTTAAAAAAATTAAAACGATAAACTTAAACTTAATAAAAAATTTATACCAATTAATTTTAAAATAATATTTTATTATAAGTTTATTAAAAGTTTTATTTAAAATAATAATATAATATATTAAAGGTTTTAATTATTATAAAAAAGATAATAATAAATAGATATTCTATAAAAATAAAAAATTATTAAAAGAATAAAATAAAAAATAAAAAATATTTTATATACAATTAATAATATAAATAATAACAAAGATTAAAATAATATTAAAAAATATTTAAAATTAATATTAAAATTAAATTAAGAATTAAAATAATTATATTTTTATTTATAATATTATTAACTATATTATTTATAATAATAACTTCGATAATAATTTTATATATAACTTTATTATTAATATAATTAATATAAATATTTAAAAAAGTATAATTTTTAATTTTAAAAAATTAAAATAACTTAACTTTAAAAATATAAATATATTAATAATAATAAACATAATTAAATTATTTTATTAGCTAAAATTATTAATTAATTTTATAAATACAAAAATATTTATTTAAATTAAAATTAAAATAATTAATTAAAAAAATTAAAATTTATAAAAAATATAAAAACAATTACCTTAACTTAACCTTACAAATATTTTTTTTCTTTAAACATTATTTTTTAAAACTAAACTTAATTATATTAATTAAATAATAAAAATATTGCATAATTATTATACCATTTAAAAATAAAATATTTTATTAAGTATAATTTAAAAAATTTACTTAAAGCTTATATTAACCTAACTTAATACCTTTATAAAATAAAAATAATTTTAAAAATTAAAACTTATTAAATTAATTAATAACGTTTATAAAAATACTTTATTAAACATAAATAACCACATCTTTTAAACAAATATTATTTAATTATAATTAATACTTTATAAAAATTTAAAAAGATATTTTAATAATAAAATAACATTATATATTATATTAAATTAAAGTAATAATTTAATTTAATTAAAATAGTTAATATATTAATAAAAATAAATCTTTATAAATAATTTAATAATAATACCTTATATAAAAACATAATAAATTAATTGTATTAAATTTATATTATTATTATATAAATGTAATAAAACCTTAAAAAATATTATAAAATCCTTATATATATCTTTATAAAAAGATTTTTTCAAAATTATAAAAATTAATAAAAATTTAACCATTAATTTTAAAAAGTTTTTAACCGATATTATAAAAATATTATTAACGTTATGATTAATTTAAATAATATAACTATTAAAATGCTAATAAAAAGTATTAAAATTTATAAAAATATTAAAAACCTTATAACATTTATAATATAATAATAATGAAAAAAAAAGTAAAAGAAAATAATTAATAATATAATTTTAAAAATATATCATTAAATTTAAACAATTTAAATTATAATAAATTTAAATATATAATTATTTAAAAAAGTAATAATAATAATAACAAAAAGATTAAATTAAATATTAAAGTAATAAAAAAGTTTATTAATAATATTTTTAAAAATGATTAATTAATTAAAAGTTTATAATAAAATAATAAAAGTAATAAAGTAATAAACTTATTAAAAATAAAAAATATATAATATAATTAAAAAAAATATTTAACAATTTATAATAATAATAAATATAATAAAAACTTTTATTAAAACTTAAAAATATAATTTATTTAAAAATATAATTTAAATTTTAAATTTAATAAAACGTAAAAAAACTTTTTATTATAAATTTAATTAATAAATCCATTAAAAAAATTATAATTACGTAATAATTAATAAAGAAAAAACAACGAAATTATAAAAAAAACCCGATTTAATAAAATTATAATAACGATAACGTAAATAAAATAATTTAACTTATTTTTTATTTTTATAAATTAAAAAACCGAAATCTTTTTTATTAATAAAATGTTAACTTTTTATTTATAATAATTTTTAACATTTAATAACTTTATTTTACCAATAGTTTAAAAACTTTTAATATAATATTATATTATATTTTTTATCTTAAAAATTATAATTAACTTATTCCATAATTTTTTCTTTTATTTACTTATTTTAAATAATTAAAATAATAAATCTTTTATTGATTATTTTACGAAAACTTAAATTATAAATGCCGCAAAACAATCTTACAACGTTTAAAACCTCGGAGACTCTGATCTCACAACGCTTAAGACCTCGGAAACTTTAAACCTAACCAACCTACTTAAAAACCACCTTTACTCTTAAAACCTTACCAATAATAACCTAATTGCTAACGACCTGATTTTACTTAATCGACAACTTTATAATCCTTAAACCGTAAATATAAACCTTAACTTTTTAAAACCATTAATTAAATCGATTAATATATTTTAACTTTTTTAAATTAAATTTACCATCCGATATATTTAACCAATTATCATTTTCTTACGAACTTATTTTTTAATACTTTAATTAATTATTATTTCATTGTAAATTTACTTTTCGATATATTTAACTCGTAATTATTTTATAAAAAATTAAAATAAAATAAATTATATTATTAATATTAATTTTAAAAAATTTAAAATTTTAATTATAATATAACTTTAATTAATAATAATAAATTAATGTTAAAACATTAAATAATTTTAACTTTAATTATATAATTATATTTTAATATAAGTACCATTTATAATTATATACACCCATTTTATATAATATTATTTACTTTTAATATAAATCATTTCTTTTTTTTCATTTATTATTATCATTTAAAAGTTTTTAATATTAAGTTTTATTTAATAACATTATAAAAAAATAATAAAAAAATAAATAAAATAACTTAATTTAATTTAATTTTTTTATATTTATAAATTAAAAAAACTTTATTTTCTTTTATAATATAATTTTAACTTTTTTATTTATAATGATTTTTAACATAATTAATATATATTAAATAAATAATATATAAAGTTTAATTAATAATATTTTTAATTATTTAATTAATTAAAATAAAATAATAAAAACGTATAATATACCGTTATTTTATATAAAATTAAAGATTTTTAAACCATTTAACATAATTAATTAATTTAATAAATAATTTTTTATAAAATAAATTTTTAAATTAAATAAATTTAAATAAATAATTAAAATATAATTTATTTATTTATTAAAAATTATATACATAAATAATATAATATTTTTAATATATATATTTTATAATTAATAATATTTTTTATTATTATTTATATAATAAATATTTAATTATTAAATATAAGTTTTATTTTAATTAATTTTTTTATAAAATTTAATTTATTTAAAATAAACATTAAATAATTTAATATTATTAATAAATTTAATTTTTAAACTTTTTTAATAAATTATTATTTATTTAAAAATATTAATATTAATTTTAAATTAATTTAATAAAAATTATTATAAATAAAAACTTAAAATTATATTATAAAAATTAAAGCTTTTTTAATTTATAAAAATAAAATAAAATAAAATATTTTATTTTTTTATTATATAATTTAATATTTTTTTAAATAATATTTTATTAAATTTTATATAAAAAAACTTTTAATAAAAAAAACTTATTTAATTAAATCTTTTAAAATTATTTTTTTATGAAAATTAATAAAAATACTTTTTAATATAATAATTTCCTTTTATTTTAAAAAACCCCACTATTTATTCCAAAGAATTGGGGGTTTTTTTTTTAAAAAAAAAGTCTGATATAATAACCTTTCATAAACTCAAGCCATCAATTTTTAATTATTTTATAACTTCTTCAATTTCTACAACTTTTACATCATGACCTCTCGTTTCACATCCCAAAATAAAACCACACAGCAGCGTCTATCAACCCATACCGTTGGCTTAGTTGCTCTATCCGATTTCCGTAAACGACGCGCCGAAGTCATCGAGCAGCAGGAGCGCGAGGCACGAGACGCCATCGCTACTGGTACACCTCTAGACACACCTGAACGTTCGCGCACTGGTACCCCAGACGATAATACCGACATCTCGAACCCTCGAAAGAAGAAGAAGAAGGAGAAGAAGGTCGCCAAAGGACGTGACAATAAGCTCTCATTTGCCGACGACAATGACGAAAATGAAGGCGACGAAAATAGTGGCCAAGGAGGAGACGAGTCTAAAGATGGGGAAGTGTCTGGAGAGAAGAAACTTAAGTTCAAGGCCAATTCATCAGTAACTGTTGTTCCGCGCGCGGTAACTAAAGCTGCTCTCCGTCGTGAAGCGGCTGAAAGAGAAACCTTACGGCGAGAATTTCTAATGCGACAGGAGGCTGTAAAACTGACTGAGATTGCAATACCCTTTGTGTTCTACGATGGGACTGATATTCCGGGAGGCGTTGTACGCGTCAAAAAGGGTGACTTCATATGGGTATTTCTGGATAAGAGTAGAAAGGTTGGCGCTGACCTCGGTGTTGGTGAAAAAGCCAATGCCAGGAGAGAATGGGTACGTGTCGGAGTTGACGATCTGATGATGGTTCGAGGGAACATTATTGTCCCCCACGTAAGTTTTTTCTACTATTCTTATTACTTTCACTTCATATCCCCAGAATGCAAGTATTCAGACGGTACAAACCGTTAACTAATCTGTAGCACTACGACTTCCTTTTCTTCATCATGAACAAAACTACTGGTCCCACTGGCAAGCTCCTCTTTGACTATGTGTCCGAAGTCTCGGAGTCAGCACTTCATAAGCGTTCCGCCGATGAACAAGCCGTTAAATCGACCAGCACGCAACCGGTCGTAAATAGTCTGGAGGGGGCTTCGGATGACCCAACCTTCACTAAGGTTGTCGACCGGAGATGGTATGAGCGGAATAAACACATCTATCCCGCCAGCGTTTGGCAAGAGTTCGACCCGGAGAAGGACTATCAGAAGGAAGTAAGGCGCGACCTCGGCGGAAATGCTTTCTTTTATTCCTAAGTACAGCGCAAGCTTTACTAACTAATCGGTGACCTGATCCCACTTGTCTCTGCGTGGTGCTTTGGGTCAAGGCTGAAATGCATTTCTTGGTCTATTTAATATCGCTTGTTAGGCGGGTTGGATTGCGGTTGATTGCTTGGAGCTTACTTACTGAACGAAAATGACTGGCTAGTTAGCTAGCAAATGATCAGCCAGGTTATTCCTAGGAACCACCATCCGGGCCAGAATAGAACTAGGCACAGCGAATTGCCACAAGAGCCAAGCATCAGAGTGAAGAGCTCGAAAACAATCTTCTTCCTTAGATGCTGGATTGACTTCGTCTTCCATATTGTTCTTCCTAGAATCGCCGCGTGGTATCGAGAAAGCTTCAAAACCGAATATACTTGGCTAGCGAAAATTCGGACTACCTGGGAGAATTGCCAGACGAACCAGATGATTTTGGTATGAAGAGATAGGGATCCAGCAGCAAGGACTCGCTGGCATCGGAGAATGACCACTAGAGTGGGCAAAGATATTGCAATTATGCTAGAACTCGGGTTGGTCACTGCTTGGGGCTCCTTGGTTGGTGCGGCGATGATGGCGACCTTAGAGAGTTCCATTGTGCTGTTATTCCAAACTCCAGGCAGGCTGCGTATCTATGCTGGTTCCAATGAGCCCAATGAACATATTCTCAATCGCGGGGCATCAGCCGTCTAAATATAATACAGCGGCTCAAGGAATGTATGTTTCACATAAGGTCAAACTGGAGGACGCGGAGAAAAGGTAATAGGATGCGATGCAACCAACAGGCAACCACATGCAAATATCATTACCAAATACTCGGACTAGGAACGGGCTCTAGATACTGGTTTCTATTCGGCGTATCGTGCGGTCGACGTCCATCACGAGACACTACTCAACTTGTATAACCGTAACGGCCCCCCGCGTAGTCTTAGTAGAAAGCATCCCCAAAGGGGTATGGATAAGATAAATGTATAGTATATATATCCCGCTCCTAGATTGTGCAATCAAATACCCACGTGCGCTTGTCCATTGGCCATACCCAAGCCGCCAAAATGGGAAGGGCAAAGTTGAACGTAGACCAGAGACATCCCGTATATATGGTGTGGCTTGCCTAGCAAAGTGCTGTGTTTCGTACAAGTGAAGTTCTACTAGTGTGTATGGCTTCCTCGTCGCCACTTAGACTCACAAGGCGCAACAATAGGCTTAACAAACTCGAGAAGTCAAAAACTGTACTCTTCCCGGGACGTTGAATTCTAGGCCCGCAGATCTCGGGTCAGGGGAGGGTGGCATATGGTGTATGAAACGTGTTGAGAGGTGGCTGCTGATTGGTTGTTAGGAAATATATCATCCGGCACCGAAAGACCTTTGACGACTTCTCGGACCGGATTCCTGTTACTCCTCCTCTTCGGTGTTGGAATCGCAACTACGATTTATATTTATTCTTGTCTAGTACATTGGCGATAGCAATATATCGTACGCGAGTCATTTCCATTGCGCTGACACTGATATCGTTTATTATTCGTTGTCTTGCTACCTTTAAGGCGTAGTTAGACAAGCAGGTTGGTCATGTTAATTAGCTACCCAATGCACATCTTGTGCTACTTAACCAATGGAACAAGTGAACCGTAGTAAACCGAGTGTAATCTAAATGTTATGGGTATCGTGATTGGTATGACTACCTAATACGACGCGAAATCCCGCGTTTATCTAGGCCCTCACCTGATAGCCTAGTAATCATTCGATAGGGTTCATCGAAAGCTATCCAGTAGTATAAGAGGTGTACAGGAGGAAACTTGACCGAATTTACCAGTTCCTACGTCCGCCGCCACGACCACGCCCGCCAAACCCGCCAGTGCCCCCACCCCCACCGCGCCCCATGCCCTGTTCGTAGCCGAAATTTTGGCTTTGAGCATTGCCGAATCCTTGGGCAGGCCCCCCAAAGTTTTGGTTCTGGTTGCCCTGCCCTCCAGCAGCGCTGGCCCCGGCATTCTGCACACCTGAGAACATGGCAGACATAGTAGATGGATCCATTTGGCTCGGGTCAAGACCGGAAGCCATCATTTGCTGCATCATGGCTTGCATCTCAGGAGGAATTCCATCCATTCCAGGCATGTTTGCCATACCGGCGCCTGCGCCTGCGCCGCTCATCCCAGGCATGCCTCCCATCATCATCATCTGCATGTCTTCGAGCATCTTCTTGTTATTCTGAGCGATGGCGTCCGAGCTGTACTCGCTGCGTACATTGTCTTGCTTGGCAGCATATAAGGCCCACGTGAACTCGTCAAAGCCGTAGTTGAAATAGTCGCTTAGGTCTGTACCAGGTTTCCTCCAAGGCTTGTCATTCTCTGGCAGATCTTGAATGCGCCTGTGTTAGCAGTAGTTAGTGAATTGAGAGGAGGCAATATGCGACGAACCTTCGTCAATGTTGATCTGGGTGATAGGCTTTCCTGCTGGTTTGTACTTAGGTATCGCATTTACATTAACCTTGGATGTGGAAACTGCAGGTAAGTCATGGCCTGAAGTGGACCGCGTTGGTACGTCTTCCTTCTTAACAGCAGCAGGCTTGCTCGTATCACTTGACGCTGATCTTTGGGGTATGTTTCGTATGTCACTATATCGCGATTGGCTATGGAATACGTGAGTAGATATAGACGAAGGGGAAGCTAGGTAGTGCTAACGTAGGCGGAGGCGCATTTGTGCCATCTTTTCGTTCCGTAATTATATCTATGTCCGAGTCATCCTCGTCCATCTCAGCGCCTTCATCCTCCTCCTCTCCTTCTTCTAAATCTTCCTCATCTTGTTGTTGCTGTTGTGGAGGCTGGTGCTGGACATATGTAGCTGCAGGATGAGAATCGGTAATGTTAGGCGGGTCATTTTGAGTGGTGGGTTCGTCGGGAGCATAGAAATCATCGTCGTCGTCAATATCCATTATGATTCTAGATGTATAAAGGTCGTACTAGTTAAGATATTAAAATCTTGATACTAGAAAGTTGTATGGACGCTAATGTTCGGGAGAAGTGAAGGTTTGGATGTAAGGGTTTAGATGTAAGTTCACTACAGGTGGATGGGTTCAATTGTCTTTCAATTGGTTACCTTGAGCTACCCTGGGTAGGGAAGACAAGGGAAGTGCGATATGTACAATACATAGAATAAGGCGTGGGGCGATTGCGGCTGTAACGGAGCTATGGCTAGGCTACAGGTACCTACCTATGTTAGGTACCTACCTAGGTTAGTTCAGTACGTATAATCTGGAGTACAATACCAATCCTAGTAAATCATATACCGTCTGGGGGACACAGGCGCGCTAGCTGGCTAGCAACGCGACCGCACCTGCAGCTCTATTGCAAAAGATTAAATAAAAAAACATTTTATTAGGTACCTAACCTGCATCAATACATCAATACAACTTACCTACATACCACATTTTACCCACCTTACATTCATTCCTTTATTTATGTCCCCAAGATCCCTTTGTTGGGCATGTGAGCTAAGGTATGTCTCTGACAAACAAACAGGAGACGCAAGTATCAATCATGTACTAACTTAGGTACGCAGTTATAAATAAATAAAATTCTGACATTCCACGCCCGGGGAATCATGGCCCTATCTAGATCAGCGAGTGGCCCTGGCGGCCTGTCTATCAACACGTCGTCCGCAAACTTGTTGTGAGTCTAGCATCTATTCTCCTACAACTCTATTCCCCTATTCCTCTATCACCCCTCTCCGATCCTTATGTAGCGAAACGAAACGAATCTGCTGCAATGCCTCCCGCTTGGGTCATAAAGCTGACATCCGGCGCCGGACGAAGTGGATCGAGCAGTACCCAGCCTCCCGCTCCCGGTGGAAGCCTTTTCGGCAATACATCAACTACACCTAAACCATCTTTATTTGGTAATCCTACGACTTCTTCCTCCACCGCTACTACTCAGCCTCAATCCGGCGGTCTCTTTTCATCATCTTCCGTTACTCCATCCCAGCCGTCACAGGGAGGCGCCAGTCTATTCGGAACAGCGAATAATACTACAACTCAACCGCAGCAGGGAGGGGGGCTTTTCGGGAGCTCGCAGACCACACAGGCGCAACCGCAGCAGGGGGGAGGACTTTTCGGGAGCTTACAGCCTACCCAGGCGCAACAGCAAACGCAGACTCAGTCCCAACCCGCCACCGGGCTGTTTGGCGGTAGCACGACCGCTCAGGCTACGTCAACGGGGACTGGGACTCCTGGGACCCTCTTCGGTAGTTCTTTAAAGCCTACACAACCAGCGCCGAGCAATCTGGGATCATCTTTATTTGGCCAGGCAGTCCCAGTCCAGCAGAAATCCAATCCGTTGTAAGTTGAACCAACCCAGCTCCCCTACAACCATTTCGCTAACTCGATCCGCAGTGGGAGTACTATTAGCCAGCCGGTTCAATCCCAGCCGCAGCAACCTGGCTTGGGCCTAGGGAGTTCACTCGGCCTTGGCCTAACCATGGGCCAATCATCAACTCAACAGACAGTTCCCGGTGTGCGTATCGACGTAAGCAATCTCAAGGGTACTACGCGGTTTAACGATCTCCAAGAGGACCTACAGAAGAAAATAGAGGCTGTTGACATATTGATCCAGAGACAAATGCAATATAAGGATGAGGTAGATTCATTCATGCCTGGTCATAAGGAGATGCTTGAGAGTATCCCCAACGACGTCAGTTTTGTCGCTAAAAAGTACGAGAGTGCGCATAGTGCACTGGCATCGGCAGCCCAGGCTATCGAGGCATCTCGCGGCTTAGTCGCTCAGGATGTAGATCACGCCCGACTAAGTTTCCGAGCTATCGATAACTTGAAGCTGCCTGAACAGTATCATACGGCCGGGATATGGTCCCCTAGGCAACAGTCAGCAGGCACAGCGAATACGGAGGCGGACGGACAAGACCTGGTCAGCTTTTTCTCTAAGGCGGCAGATGACATGGAAGATCAAGTAAAGAGATATGACCGGAACATGACCGAGATTGAGATGCATATGCACGGCGTTTCCGATAATCTAGTGGAGCAGTTGCAGAAGATGATGGCTAACAAGAATGGGGCGTCATCTGGTCCCAACGAGAAGGCCCAAGAGCTTAGCGCTGTGCTTAGAGAGTTGCAGCAGGGTATTCTGAAGGTGGCTAGCGATGTCGCAAGCGCTAGAGAAGATATGACCCAGCTGCAACTGGGGAACTTCATTAGCAACGATGGCGATCGCAATGGTGTGTACTAGGTAGCATTATGTTTCGCGGGCTGTGTATTAGATAGTTTAGATACCCAAATGGAAACTTAATGATATAGCCTGATGAAACAGCTAGATAGCATATCCACGCATGTGTATATCCTTCGGATATAATCCCCCATGGTATGGATTTGTTTCAACTATATTGTAAAACTCGGTGCTGGTATTCCTCTATATGCTCAGGGCTAAATATGATAGCACTCACTGGTGTATCTATATTAGTATGATTAAACAGGGGGCATTTTTACGTCTAGATACAAGAGATACAGTACAGCATGGAAAGACTTCATAAAACACAACCTCTGTTATCTAACTACTACCACAGTAGCACGCGCCAACGCCAGCCCTTGAGGAGTTTCACGTCGTCTTCCCCAAGACCCTGATCTCCCCTTTCGATCTTGGCCATGAGCCGTTTCAAGCGTTTGGATACCGTTCTTGCTACGCGCATCGATACCTCGCTCTGAAATACGTACAGGATAGCCAGTACAAAGAAGGCTATCGAGGCAAACTTGCCCTTGCCATGAACGGAATCCAAGATGCGAGAAATGAGACCCTTGCTTCTCTTGAAGGCGTATTCGGTGTCGTTGGACTCTTTGTCTTTCGACGAACGGCGGAAAACCCTACGGATGGCGGGAATGAAAGACGCCCTATATGGGCATAAGAAACTATGTAAATATACAGCTGGTTTATGTGTGATGTTGCGGGAGGGGGTAGATGGGGGAGAGGAAGAGATGCCATGAAACAATTTCCCATATGCTAGAGACTTACACTAGACCACCTAAAAGCCATCGTCGCCATCTATGCGCCTCGGCCGCCTTAGCTAAGTCCGATACCTCACTCCGCAACAGCTGCAAGTCGCTCATTATAATGCTCTGCTGCGCTTGAAGACAACGCTCGCTAGCCGGGTCGTCATACTGTCGTCTTTTGTGCAGCGAGATATACTCGCCCAACGAGTATTCACAGGCAGTCCTTATCGATTGCAGATCCGTCCCGGCGAAAGGCGTAGAGACCGGCTGTTCAAACCTAGGGTCTGGCTGCAATGGAGGTGGACCTGGAGGCACCGGAGCCGAAGTTGAGGGCGGTGCTGGATATGATGACGACGGTGCTGGCTGGTACTCCATTGGGCTGAGGCGAGTGAGCGGAATGCAGGGCCGAAGCAGTGATTAAGATTGTCCTCTTACAAGGTCGTCGAAGTGAGTATAACGCTTCCTTTTTATTCCTATCTCTCCCTCATTATCAGCAATTACACAATTCATAAGATAGGAAGATCTAACGGAGGTTGGGGTCGCGGGGTAGCCGCTCAGCTAATAAGACATGCAGGCTCGGCAAAGTGGCCAGGTTTGGGGACTGGACTGGGCAGTAAGCGTCGCAGCCACCAACCTGCATCCATTTCTGTGATACGCCACCATGTAAATAGGATGATGATGCTCGTATGAAAATTATATATGCTTGTTATATCCACAACTACCTTCTTCTCGACTATCATGATTAGCAGAGGTATATATAACTATCACTAGCTGTAGTTTAAGTTACAAACCAAATTATAGTTTCACTGAAGATTGACACTCGATTGGTAACAACCCAAAGGAAAAATGCCGAGCCTAAGACCATAAGTTTTAAATGTTAAAAACTCTATACGAGATATTTAGAATAAATGATGTATAACCACAACCTCCCCTAGCTAAGTTTATAATTATGGAACAACAAAGTTATCCACGTATCTTCTGATTCTACCTCATGATAGTTGAAGTAACCTGTCATATGAGTTACACATACTTTCCCAATAATAATAGGGGGGAGGTATAGCCTCTTTGTAATAACCAACTCATACAGAAACTCAATATTAACTAACAATATAGCTAATTTTACAAGTAAATTCAAGAATTAAGGTTATTAACGCCCTTGGTCTTATAAAGTTAGAAGTTATTAATGTTAGGGAATTTAGCCTTATAATGACTGACCTTCCCGATTCCTACGAGGTAGGGAGCTAGGATACAACAGAGCCTTATGGGTTTACGAATGCTAACTACGCTATCTTAGCTGGTAATTACAAAAAAGAGCATTTAATTCTATATTAAACATGGACATATATTTTCCTGCTCTTAATTAATAAACCAGAACATGGAGTTTAACGGTATTTAAAGGGCTAGAAAATTAGTAGTGGTGAGGATAGGATATTTTATTTACAAGCCTCGCAAACTTGCATGAAAATATAATGGGATCTTAAGACTGCTGAAGATAAATACAAAGATGTAGTACCTTGCTTATATACTCTGGGAATAAATATTTGGTTGTACGATCGAGCTGTTTCGACGAGGTCAGCCGAGTAGCTATCCTCTCATCTGACCGGCAAGTGTAATAATAAATATATGCCGATCTACCTATGGTGATGCATGGCGAATGGGCTTACTCATCACCGTCTTTGTCCTGAATGTAACACGTGACTATCAGCAGACAGTGGAGAAAGTTACCCATGTACGGAGAAGTTACTTTAGGTACCTAACGGGATAGATCGGATCAGCTGCACCTTCCGCGCGGTCAGCCCATCACCGGGATGAATGCGGTCGTTTTGTCACCAGTACTTTTCAAGTGTAACGTACGCGTAGAAGAGATAAGTGCATGTACCTGAATAAGCTAGCATTCGGTAAGGCGCATATGTACTGCGGGGACGCCTATATACCGCCTAGATTTGAGTGGACTTGTCGCACAAACATTGAATTTCTCTTTACCTGAATCAATGGTATCCGTGTAGATCGGGATTAGTTTCCAACGCTTCTGCGCTCTTAACACACATTGCGGGCGATAATTATGTACCAAAGTACCTACATGTCGTGTATTACATGATGAGTACGTACAAGACTCGGTTGCAAAGTCTTGTACATTATGTTGATGTTGAAGTGGTCTATCCGGTTGACCGTATTTTAAATATTGATCGTAACGTTAGGTAGGTAGGTAATAATCCCTAATCGCGGACCCCCCCTTTTTTTGTTCATCTAAATTGCGTGCGAATGAATTATTACAGTACATAGTAAGTCCGGCTTGCGGTACAATGCGTGCGGATGGACGGGCTGACTAGGGGTGTAGATAATTTCAGGATAAAGGATCCGGCCCGCCCCCTTTTAATCCGTTGCGGCCGAAAATATGACGCCAGTCGCTGACTTTGGAGAGAACATTATTACAGCATCATAGGAGGCGCGGAGGCTAAATTGTAAGTGGGCACCTAATGTAGCCTATCATCATCATACTTACATAGGTAGGTATATGAAAATATCTTAGATGTGGTACAAAATTCTACTACGAATACCAAAATATCATTTCGTTGGATATTCCGGCGGACGGGCAAGGATAGCTGATCTAACCCGGTACCATGGTTGAATGTATTAACCTAGGTTAGGTTGATAGTTTTAAAAATATAGAAAATGCTTGATTCCCCCTCCGCAAATGAGGTAGGTAGTAATAATACCTCCTTTGGCACTTAGGTATGTATTGAGACATGTATTCGGACTAAAAACTGTGCCAATGCGCGCCGGCCACACTTATATTCAAACGGCGGCGCGGGCTGACGGCGTTATGCAGTTTCGGTCGCCGCATAGAATAGTAGGTTAGAATAATAGATCTTAGTTAACATCCACTCGGTGCGTGACCTAGGTCTAGGCATTGGAGGTCTCACGTCTCACGTCTCACGCATGGTGGAGCGAGCTTACGAGCTTCCTCCTTTTCTTCACTGGCAATCCCCGGACCACATATGCACACTGTCTATATTTAGGATGGCAGATGGCGATTGGCATATTCGTGGTACATTGAATTGTCTTGTATATGTATGTACTCAAACCCGCGCCGGTGTAGATTCAATAGTTTGGTTCACTATTGTGTACTTGAAATGCCATAACGCCCAGGGAAAGCTATCGGAAAATCGGCGGTTCCACCGCCTCCGGGAGGATTGAAGGTACGGGTGGAGAAAGTGGACGGAAAAGGACCATAGGAATCTATCGAATTCCCATACATAGAAGCCTGCGATTTTCGGCCCTACATATCGGTACGTATGTATAGGTATACGTAGCATTGTGGGCCTTGGATTGACGAGGCGTCATACAAGTCTCTATGCTCTTTGATGAGATTCTACTATTTTGTAACTTTGTTTTTTGTTGTTGGACGTAGTGCGAGTCTACCTATCTCTTAATGGAGGCAACACAGATAGAAGAACCGAAGGTTGAGTAAGTCAAGTAGCGAACAAGGTGAAATGTTTAAGCTTCTAGCTGGTCATCTGTCCGAGGGGGTTCGGCAGTAGTGAATACCAGGCAGGGAACGGTGTTGTAGGATGACATTGTCGGAAGTATTTGACTTGGCACTTCCTTAAGCATCGGGACAGACGCATGTATAAAATCCTAGCATTAGTTCTCCAAGAAGATTACGCGCAATCGGTGTCGCTGATCTCGTACTGTATCCGTATAGCGATGGGAGGGTACTTGTCTGTAAGGTCTGTATGTAAGGTCGGACGGAAAATGCACCAAACGAGTCCGGTGCCGACATTAGAGGAAAACCAAATAGGATAGGGATGACCATGATTGCGCGCACATGGCACTGCAGCTAAGTGTCACCCAGTCATCGAACCATCTCCGCTTCGGACTATCCGCCGCCCGGATATCCCAAACGAAGGATAATGTAAGTGGTATGTAGGCATGTAGATATATATATATATGTGTGTGTGTGTGTGTTTATGCGTGCGTATGTGCGGAGGTTGGCATTTTCATTATCTTATAGAACAAACTTGATAGAGCTGGCGTTGTAATCACAAATGGAGGGTAATTATACACACTTTGGCACAATGTCTACGGCAGTTCTATTACATGTTTCAGCTTGAGCTTTCTAATATTCTGTTTCGCTTTGTGATGGTGGATCTCTGATACTAGGCATAATCTAAGCCCCTATTCTACGTTTCGGCGACGGCGAGGCGGCCCCATCTCGGTCAGCAATGCGTGACCAGTGGGAGGTTTCCCGTCCCGTGTGTTCCCTTCCAGTGGCCTGTAACACGCACGACATGATGGGCTGCGTATAGGACGACGGCCGGCGGATTTCTTAAACAGCAGCCAACGTGGCGGGGTTGGGTTGCCTGGTCGAGGTTGCATCGAGTCAGCCCCGGCTAACCGATTCAATAGCTTCGTCAGCCGAATAACAACCCCCGAAGCATATTTTACGATGCCATTTCCCTATGGCATACCGGGTGGGTAAGACGAACCGGCTGGAACGAGTGCGCCCTCGGAAGTAGCGGTATATTTTCCAACCTACACCATTTACTTACCTAGTATTTATTTAGAAACTTGCCTGTTGGGAAATAAGTTTTGATGGCGTCAAGGTTAAATATTCCGGATGCCAACTTTCGAACCAAGGTTTGGCAACATAATTACTATAATAATATAACCCAGGGTACTATCAGTTTATTTGACAATCAACCTGATTCAAAAGGCATTCCCGGGAGGTAACTTTAGATTAGGAGGCTGGCGAGATTTGTTGGTAGGCAGTAAAACAGGGACCGACACTCCGAAAAAGCCCCAGTCCACCCGCCGCTCTAGACCCCGAGTCCGCACTCACAGTATGAAGTATTTTACCAGCGCTGTCTTTAGTTACTTAGACCTTATACAGAGGTAAAAGAGGCGTATGCTCCTTTTTTGTCCCTGCTTTCCTTTTTACACATTAGGTGCGTATCTAGTCAAAGCGTAGCAGGTTAAACTTTTCTATTTTCTCCCGTCATCCGTCTCCGAGGTTTATAAGTAGGGTGCGTAACAAGGAGCTCGGTCGGCTTATCGAAATGTCTATTTCGGATTTATCTTTGAAAGCGGTAACGAAACGAGCAAAATGAACAAACCCACCCAACTAGATTACCCAATATGATTTCAGGAACACCTCGTTTCCCATCAAATACAATGCGCAAATGTCCGTCCTCACTAACTAGAGTATGTGGATTACAATTGCCATAAGAGAGAGGGCAGGCAAAATGATACATTAAAAAAAAAAAGTAATGTCGCCCGTGTTAGAAAAAAGCAAAAGAAAGTACGGGCGCGGACGGATTACGAAGTACGTGTTCACGCCTCCCTTCCCGTATTGCGCTGTCACAGTACGTATAGACAGTACGGGAGGGCCCCGTACCATTGCCTAGCCAAATTGGTAAACTCCCACGCGAAAGAGACGACCAGCGCCGGGAGCCGTGGAGCCGAAAAGCCCCCCTCCAGAGAAACATGTTTGAGTTTAAGGATTTCATCAGCCTGTCTCCGGTCGATCGACTTTTGACAGAGAAAAGGATGTTCTTTTCCCTTTCTATTTTCTCTTATATTTCAATGCATGTGTATTATTTAAGTACTCGTCTATCAAATAAATTGAATAAAGTAAAAATAAAACGTCATTCACGAACGCGTCTGGTGAGCACTTGCCGCACGGGCGAATCCCCGGTTGTGGCCCCCCACAAGGGAAATAAAGTACACAAGAAGAAAGAGAGGGCAGAAGGAGGGAAGTGCGAGAGAGATACCTCAGGAAATACCTAAGGAAGAAAGAGCCGGGCTAGGCCGCGCTTTGCACCCCTCCCCCGAATTGACCGCCTGGAAATCATCAGTGCTCGAGGTTGGCTCAGGTGCGCGCTCTGATTTTTAGCGCAAACGCCCGAGTCTGGTCCGTCTTAATTTCTGTTCTCCCTCCCGTCCTGCCCCGTCTCCTGCAACATCCCTCTCCAGCGGCTTCGCGCCAGAGCGCCATCACCCAGGTTCTATCCTTCCAAGAAAAAAAAAGTTCCATTTTCCTTTTTTTCCCTTTCCTCTTTTCTTCCTTACCTATTCTACCTACTAGTTTTTCCCTTCCCACTAAGAAACCCCCCCTCCACTCCGACCGAAACTTACACAACTAAAAAATTTCCCATCCACCCGCACCGAACATCCACCGCCTCCCGTCTTCTCCGTCTACACAAATAACTCTTCCATCACTCTATCATCTTCTACCGGACCTGCATTCGGAGTGTCGCCTTATTGTCCGGAATAGCATCGTCATATATTCTCTCACTTGCGATACATCTTTGGTCTAATACTTACCATGGCGTCTGTCGTCCGCGGCACGTCGCTCAGAGCCGGCGGCGCCTGTGTGCGTTGTCGCAAGGGAAAAACGAAGTGTGTCTACGAGAATGGTCGCGCACCATGCAGGAACTGTGCCAAGGGGATGCACGAATGTTATTTACCTTCGGAGAGTATGGCTCATCACCATGGTCAATCACCGGCAAGGCCTCCTCGCCCGCGTGAGAGTCTACCTGGCGAGCGAAGCGTGTCGGCAACCAGCGACCGCCAGCCTGTAGCGTCCGGCACTGTTTTGCCGCGCAGTATGCAGACCAATAGCGAGAAGTAAGTTATTTTATTACTTTTATTCTTTTATTATTATTCTTTTGTCTTTTCTATCGACGTCATCATAATTTCTCTTACTATTTGTCCGCTTCTCTTTTTTTTTCCCTTCCCCGAGATGCCTCTACTCCCTTTTGGCCTCCATTATTACGGGGGCATCATGGTGTTTCGGTCTTGACCCAGGTTGGCGGCAGCTATGCGCTCCGAATAGTTTCTGGTACTTGGTGATCCGTGCTCCCTGGCGTCGTCGGTCAAGGCAGAGTGCAGTCGGCCAAATCACTCCCCCAACATTCAACCACTAGTCTGATTCTGGGTGGCTGTGAATGGGGATGGATGCCGGTTGCCTCGTTTCTCGCCTCGGCATCTCCAGCGTCTCTTCCCTAGCCCCCAATCCTGCCCATCCTGCCCAGCCCGCCCAGCCCATCTACTCGTCTGCCTCCATACTCCGTTTGTCCCTGCAACCCCCAGCACGCGCTCCTATTTCAATCCAAATACCCTTGTCCTCCCCCAAACTTCGTTCGCGTTGATCGGATCCACTAACACGTATTTTCGTCCGTCCCCACAGACTCAATCCGGAACTGGTGACGGAATGTGAGAGGGTAATCAGCAAGACTATTCCGTCTTGTGTCGCCTTTCACAAACCTTCCTTCCTACAGAAGCTCAAGAATGGCACCCTCGAGGCTAGCATCGTCAACGGTCTTCTGACTTGCGCTGCGCGGTAAGCAAACATTCTCATTTTTCATATTGTCTCTCCGTTTATTGAACATAATTCCCCGGAACCCGCCTTATCCACTTCTGAAAGGATTCCGGGCGAATGGTTCATTCATCTCCGGAGTTGCATTCGCGTTTCGCCTAATCCACCAATGGTTTTCCCTTTTCGCGAATCCTTGCCACCACCTGGCTTTCCGATCGCCTCTGAAAATACCTCGTTACATTTATTTAAGTCAACCGGGCTTACCTAACCATTTATCTCGCGTATAGGAGCTCCCCCGCCTTGATTCGTCGTTATGGCGGCCAGGGAGGTGCTTCGGCTGCGGCCGAGCATTTTGCCGTCAAGGCTATCAATATAATCATGCAGAATCTCGACAATCCGACCTTGGCGGATATTCAGGCTCTTTGTCTCCTGATCATCCACGAATGGGGTAACCGCAATGCTGTCCGCGCGTACATTTACCTTGGCCAAGCCGCTCGTATGGCTCAAATGTATCGGATAATTGCGGTTCACCAGAATCGAGACGATCCGGATCAGTTCATTAAGGAGGAATCATTTCGCCGTACCTTGTGGCTTATCTATGTGTTGGATTGCTTCCTCACAAGCAGCCCCGGTCGCCAGCCGGCCGTGTCTCACCATGACATCAAGGATGTCCCACTTCCGTGCCTTGACATGAGCTACAACTTCGGTACGCCCGTGTATGTTCGAACCCTCGCCGGTGGTCCGCCCCCGGCGCTTCCCACGCCGTCCACTCCGATCTCTGAGGTTGGCGAGTTTGGCCACATCGTGATGGCAACCCAGGCCTGGCGTAACGTCGTCGAAATGCTTACTACCGTGACGAGTGCCACTTTCTCCGAAGAGGACTGTGCTTCTCTTGAGGCAGGTATTGAAGCAGTTCGGAATTCGTTACCACCACACTTTATGGATAATAAGACCAGGCAAATCAATCTACACATTACGATGGGTAGTGGATTCACATACGCTATGTTGCATTGTCTCCTTCACTGCGCTACCATCATGGTAAACCGTCGTAGGCTGCTTCATCTTGTTACTACTGACGGATTCAATCACGAGACCTGGCGTATGGTGCCGCATGTTCACTTGCAGACAGTTGATCGTGTATTTGCAGCTGCTGACAGCGTGGTATCGCTCCTACTAGCCTTGGAATCTAACGCGGACAAAGATGCCGTCCTCAACTTCCCTTTAGTCATGTTGTTTTCGTGCTTTACAGCTTGTTCTACTGTGGCTTGGTTTAGCCTAAAAGGATTAACACCCGGCGATTTGAACGAAACGGCCGAATCGATTGTTCGCGATGGCATGCGCTTTCTTCAAGATGGGGCTAATATTTGGATTTTGGCCGTTCCCTGGTACCGCCATCTATCTGTTATGAATAAGGTCCTACGGAATGGCGATAGGACTCTTCAGAGAACACAGCCCGAGACGATTGTGCCCTTGATCAAGGAGGACACAGCAAGTCAACCAGACAATCCTGATAGCATGGATTACGAGCGCCCACAGTCGGCGAACGCTCAAGAGCAGACGGATAGTCGAGGCAGCGAGCCACCACGAAAGTCTGGATTCACGACTATCAATGGAGGATCGGTTGGTGTGTCACCGCCGGCCACTGCGAGCCCCCCGCCGGGCCAGTCGAAGGCAGAGTCCCCAGCACCTTCCTCGTCTGGACAGCCGGCCGAATCCGCACCGGCTGCCGGTAACGATATGACTGCGGCCGAACTTTGCGTGGCGTTCGAGCGCCAGCTACTGGAGTTAGACGATCTCGCTGCCTTCATGGGCGGAGGTGTGTGAAGACCCGAGCATCAATCCCCACGCCCTCTAAACCTTGTACTACTTGCACTTACGCATTATCCAAGTGCCGTTTCATGATAACCCGGCGTATCTTCCTACGAGGCTGTGTTAATAAGGGAAACATGGATTGGCGTTGATTGGTGTTCTCGGATTGCCTTTCAGGGCTTTGTTTTTGAAGTTATTCGTGGAGTTTCATGCCGCTCGAGCGAAATCTTTTCAGCCCTCGCAATACGCCGCGACGCGCCGATGTCCGGATGGGTCGATTTGCTATAATCTCGCCGAATGCCACGGTATTTATAAGGAGGCGCAACTCCCTTAACATGGCGGAATCTTTGGACGGCGCTTTATGTTTGCAGATTTGTCTGTTCCTCCCCCCCCTCATAGCTCGGGCAGACACACTTTACCATAGCTACTGATTGTTGCACATGGAAAGGTCGCGAGAGAAGGCTGAGGAAGCAGCTGAAGAAAAAAAATTAAGAGAGGATAAGTGGATTTTTATGCGCACTGCAGAAATATGTTGCCCCAGGTGTAATGATGCCTGGTAGCTACAGTTGAAGGCGGTTTGTAGCTTGGAGCCAACTTGTACTATTATAAGGCATTTGATTTGCGATTGCTAGTTAATTCGATTATGGTTTACCATAACTTCATGGAATCGTACTTGACATGCTAACTCCTACCTAGGTTAGGTATTTGAGTGACAATTCTCTAAAGTTGTTAAATGACGTTGAATAGTTTGCGTAGTTGCTACTAACTATATTTTAAGATACAAAATTTTTTTTTTTTTTGGAATAACTCTTGTTTATTTGAAATCCCCATGGCGACTTTCATGTGAACCATGCGGTCGCTATATCTACCTGTAACGGCCTTGAAATAATACAGCGGCAGTCGTAGGTTAGGTATGTGGATAGCTCGATAAGGAGCAAGAGGTAGGTATCACGTGCCTCATATCTAATTAATATACAATTGTCACTATGGAATTTTGCTCGTGTTTATCACACTCGAACTAATTCATTCCCTATCCTTGCCCGGCAACAACATCGCATATCTGCGTCTTGATACCCGTTTCTCCAGATGCATACGAGGCGAGGCATTTCATGCGGTAGCCATATAACTGTCGTTTATCTATTCGCAGCATAAAGTCAAGCATCACTACCAGCATGCAGCGGCTTTTTAAGACACGGAGAGGAGATGGATATGTCGGGCCAGGACAATAGCCCCAAGCGTGGGTCAAAGCGCAAATTGAGTAATAAAGATGGACTTGAACTCGGAAAATGTTTCAATAAATCATCTACGCTCGTGGGCCGGGAGACCTCTTCGTCAACGACAATTGAATGCTCGGTTACCAACGAGGACCGACCTTCGAAGCCAGTGGTACCCAGAGAACTAAGGGACGACTATCACTACAACAAGCTTTATACGAAAGAGCTGGACTTTCGTCTGCTCGGACAGCATGACCCGGAATTCGAAGCCGTGTTGGAGCACGGTTCGCATCTTGACTTTAATAATCCTAAGTCAGTCATGCAACTGACTAAGACCCTCCTCAAGCGGGATTTTGGGTTGATAGTCGATTTACCCACGGACCGACTTTGTCCTCCGGTACCTAATCGGCATAACTATATACTTTGGTTAAAGGAGCTCCTTGACTCATCCTCGACTCCGTGCTTGGACTCTAGCGAACCGGCTCGGCATGTGACTGGGTTAGACATTGGTACCGGCGCCAGTCTCATCTACCCGCTTCTAGGTTGTGTTCAACGACCGTCGTGGTCTTTTGTCGCCACTGACGTGGATGCGAAGTCGTTATCTTACGCACGCAAAAACCTTGAGCTAAACAACCTACAAGCCAGAATCCGTGTAGTTGGTCGCGCCACTACGGACTGTCTTATCCCCCTGGATGAACTAGGCCTAGAAACTATTGACTTTACCATGGTCAACCCTCCCTTCTACACATCTGAGGCCGAACTCACAGGTCTGGCCAAGCAGAAATCCAAGCCCCCAAATACCGCGTGTACGGGCGCGCCAGTCGAGATGGTGTGCGCCGGGGGCGAGATCGGTTTCATTAAGAGGATGATTGATGAGTCCTTACTCTTACGAGAGAAGGTGCAGTGGTACACGTGCATGCTTGGCAAACAGTCAAGCCTGGAAGTGCTTGTAAGCGCCCTTAAAGGGAATGGCGTGACTAACTATGCTATTACGGCATTTGTTCAGGGGAATAAGACGCGCAGGTGGGCTATTGGATGGAGTTTCGGGAACAGGAGGCCGAGTCTGTTGGCTAGTAGGGGTTGTGAGCCCTCAGCTGGGAAAAAGATCTTGCCGGAACCTACAGAGGTGACCGTTGTTATGAGACCTAGTTCGCAAGTTAAGCCGGGACAGCTTGAGCAGACCGTTTGCGATACGATGGAGGGTCTTGACCTGTATTCGTGGAGCTGGAGTAAGAAGCTGTCGAAGGGCGTAGGCTTTGTTAATGGTAATGTTTGGAGTCGAGCCTATCGCAGGAAAAGGGGAAGGGGAAGGGGAAACCTGAGCCCGGCCGTGGGAGATACTGCCGAAGATGGGCCTTCATCGCCCCGTCAAAAGAAGCCGAAGCAAACGGCGGAGCAGGATACGACGCACAGTATGTTTGGTTTCTTATTAACAATACAGGCTTTAGGAGATATGAATGATAAGGATCAAGCAGTGATTGTGGTTCGCTGGCTTCAAGGGGACGATCATGCGGTTTTCGAGAGTTTCACGGGATTCCTTCGAAAAGCCATTCTCTCGTCAATCTAAGAGTAATGAGGTATAATATGAAGTCCTAATGTTAGTTTAAGAGCGCTATACACCAATCACGTGTAATATCCAGTAAATTCTTGGAACCTGGAGCTATCAAATTGTTGTCTCTAGTATACCGTACCGCTGTATCCTGTTTCTGTATGATAAACGGCCCCCAATAATGCAATCTATAATCTTCATGTAATATACTATATGAAGGTATAGATTCTTGATACTGTGAATCATAGAACCTTTCAAGGCCCATCGCGTACTTAACATTGTTTAATCCTCGATACGAACGAAAAAGTTAGTCTCCCCTTCCTTCGGGACAACGGCAGCACGCTTGACAAATTCATCGCCGACAGCTAGGCGCAGCTTTTCCGCTGTTGCTGGGGCGTCAAGAACCAATGGTTCCGTTACGCCGTTCATCTCTCTCGCAGCCTTGACTGCTTCCCTAAGGGCGAAGAATACCGTCGAACCTAAAAAAAGCGGTGGCTCTCCGATACCCTTGCTACTCTGGATAGAGCGCAGATGCTTCCAGCTTATGGCATTTCCTTCCGAGTCGTGCCTTAACATGGACACGTTGAATATTTGAGGGATATCCGAGAAACCTTATGCTTATGTCAATACGAAACTCCTTCGGAGGGAGAATTCGCTGATACTTACCTGGTATCTTATAAGTCCCGGGTCCCTTTGTGAACATTTCACCTTCTCGCGTCCACAGCGATTCCTCCATGGTGAATAAACCCTGCCCTTGGACGAAGGCCCCTTCGATTTGCCCATAGTCGATTGAAGGGTTGATAGAACGACCGACATCCTAGTTTGCTATTAGACAAAATTTACGGTCTCGCTCCAATAGATACTCACCATCATTATGTCTGTCCTTAGAACGGTATGATCACCTGTAAGAAGATCTAATTCGGCCTCTGTGATAGCTACACCCTGAGTGAAATAGTAATACATCGGAAGGGGATCTTCATAATTTCCCCATTTGTACCCTATCTTGGGCATCTTCCAAAATCCGTTGGCCGCAAGGTTGACTCGGTCTCGGTATGCGGCATGGGCGATCTTCGACATTGGAGCATCCCGTCCGAATCGTTCCCTGTATGGCGCTAGGCGTTCGTTGAGCTGCTCGCAAGCGTTTTTAACAGCCATGCCATTGAGATCACTGCCCGATGATGCGGCGGTAGGGGATGGGTTGGCGACTTGGTCGGTCTGAGAGTCTTTATTGAATATTTGCTCCACGCCCACGCCGAGCTCTTCAGCTGCAACCTGACACATTTTGGTGTAAAGGCCCTGTCCCATCTCGGTGCCTCCGTGGTGGAGAAGGATCGAACCGTCTTCGTAGATTCTTACGTATGCGCCGGCCTGGTTCAAATGAAGAGCTGTGGCAAAGCTGTGATATGATATTAGATCTTTTTATTACATAAATAACAATGATGTGGCTTACCTGAGACCGAATTTGGTAGGTATCATACATATCCCTCTCTTTTTATAATGGTTTTTGGAGTTGAATAATCGGACTTCTTTCTTCCTATTCTCATAATCTGCATTGGCGCTGAGCTGTTCTAACATGGTTGGGACGTGGAAGTCAACATCGATGGGTTGTAAGAAGGGAGTTAAATCACCCTGCTTATATAGATTTTTGAGCCGAAGCTCATCGATATCCATATTGAGCCGCTCGGCAATAACACTCATGTATGACTCGGCCAAGTACATCGCTTGCGGTCCGCCAAAGCCTCGAAACGCAGTATTCGATACTGTATTTGTCTTGCACACCCATCCGCGTATCCAGGCGTGTGGTATATTGTAGCAATTATCAATGTGAGTACAAGCCCGATCCATGACAGCGCCAGACATGTCTATGGAAAACCCGGCATTGCAGTATATGTCCGCATCGAAGCATTGGATTATTCCGTTCGCATCTGTGCCGATTTTCCACTTGCATTGCATTGGGTTTCTCTGCCCACTGGTTGACATATCTTCGTCGCGATTTAGCATTATCCTCATGGGACGCCGCTCCTTTTTAGCAGCAAGAGCAACAAAGCATGCTGCTGGTGTAACTCTCGACTCCTTTCCACCATAAGCGCCCCCGAGACGTCGGACCCTCATATTTACGCGGCTCATCGGTACGCCAAGTACCTGAGCGACGAAGATCTGGTTCTCTGCTAGGTTCTGAGTAGAAGCATAGACTTCCATGGAGCCATCCTCGGCATGCGGAATCGCTAATGCGGAAATAGTTTCTAGATAGAAGTGCTCTTGTCCGCCTAGCTTCGTCAACCCTTCGAAGATATGCTCGCATTTAGCGAATTCGTCGTCTAGAGGCCCCTGAACAGCTGCCCCTTTTTTCAACTGTTTTCCATGCTCAAAATAACTCTGGGCTTTGATGGCTTGGCTAATGGTGATTATGGCCGGCAATACCTCGTACGTTACCTTGACTTTAGCGGCGGCAGCTTGAGCTTGCAACGCTGTCTCGGCGTAGACTAGACCTATTGTCTGGCCGTGCGAATGAACTTCGTCTACCGCAAATAGGGGCTCGTCTACTCGAATTGGACCCCATGCATTGTTTGCCCTCGATACACTGTCCTTGTCAAGATAACCTACAACCCCTGGCATTTCAAGCGCAGGGCTCCAGTCAATGGCGAGTATCTTTGCATGTGCTTTTGTCGATAAGACGAGAGCGCAATGCAACTCATTGTTTTGCCGGGGCATGTCGTCGATGTACTCTGCCTCGCCGGTGCAGTGCTTCAAGGCTGAAAGATGCGGTATTTCTTTACCCACCACAGTGGTGCCTGAAGGAACAACGTGATCCCGAGTCCCAGAAGATACTCCCCGGTGTATTTCTTGAATAGCATCACTTTCGATTCCAGCAAGGCCTAATTCTGCGACACTTTCCTGCCAGAAACGGAAAAATAGTGACAGGGTGAGAACTGTTGGAGTTGTTAGCAAATAGGGGCTATGGAACTAGGTATCCGAGACATACCCTTCCTATACTGAGCCATTCCACCTGGTACGCCAAATGCTAAATCAAAGTCCTGTAAAAGAGCCTGAAGAGCTTCTTCGCGTGTAATAACATCTGCCCATTGCTTCCCTATCACAGCCTTCTGGGCCGCAGTCGCGACTGTGGTAATTGGTGCCATGCCACCATACGCGAATGTCGCCTGTTCGACAAGTCCTTTTTGGCTTACACGTAATCGGAAACCAGCAGTAACTATCGCGATATCATCATCTTTTCTCTTTGCTTGCTTATATGCCTTCGTTACCTCTAACATCTCTGGTGGTGGTAGTGGAATCTTGATATGTGTGATTATGCCGTTGGGAGGTAACTGGGTTGTCCGGTACTTAATGAAGAACGTCGAAAGTGGTATGTCATAGGGGCCCTTTCCTTTAGATCTTACAGTGATTAAAGATCCTGCTGCTAGTAGTGCCGGGGCAGCATCTGAGATAGGGCTTGCAGTCGCCAAATTCCCAGCCAGGCTGGCAACGTTCCGAATTTGACGGCCTGCGAAGTATCGGAGCTGCTTTCTAAGTGCCTCAAGTGCGCTTGCTCTAGCACCAAGCTTTATAAATAATGTGGCACATAGGTCTTCTACCTTGGTCAGTGGCATATTACCTGGGATAGATACTTCTGAAAGACCCTTGAGATCAGCATCGCTACTAGGTCCCTTGAAGCTGTTAAGCTCTTTGATATCCGACGCGTAGACGCATACCCGATATTCGGATTTCTTGAAGCGAACCTCGATCTATTTCTACGTAAGAAACGCCTAGAACAGTAGAATGTGAACGGATATATGACATTACCTGTGTCTCGCTAGCGCCTCCCACGATTTTAGCAGAGGGCCAAGCATCTTTTAGTTCCACCAGTTGCTCCAAAGTTGTAGGTTTGAACCAAATCTTTCTCCCATCTCCATAACAGATAGGCCGTTCTTCATATCTCCAGAGAGCTGGCGGGAATATGATTTCTGCTGTAGGGTTATATGGTATAAATGAACAAGGTGGTGCCCTAGGTTTACCCGAGTCTACAGACGTTTCTCGTGTATTAGCAGATTCCTGAGAGGATGCTCTGTCGGCACTGCTCCCGGACGAGGACGTCGACGGGTCACGACAGCAGCCTCCCGGACGCCCGCAAGAGCCGCTGGACGAAGAACCGCATCCATTTCCATTTGCTGGCGTTTGTAGAAGACCATCGTCGTCATCGTGAGAACTTAAGGGGGAGGGATTGTTCTCTTCGATCAATTCGCCCTTTAAATCCTCCAAGATAAACGTCTTGGCAGCCTCTAGAATTGGTTTGTAACCTGTCTGAATAAGTTGAGCACGACACTTGAGCACAAGTGTAGAAACGGATACATACGCATCTACAAAGATTTCCATCTAAATGGCCTTGTAGCTCAATATCAGAAGCTGAAAGCCGGAACTTTCCGTCTTGATATGAATTTCTAACGAGTGCATACAGACTCATTACTATTCCAGGAGTACAAAATCCGCACTGAGAACCACTAGCGGCAGCCCTGGTATTAGAACAGTGGTGTATAGGTCGAAGCTATATAACGGACAAATAACTTACTGCATCTTTGCTACCCTTTCTTGTAAAGGATGCGGGCGATCAACGGTGCCTAAGCCCTCGATAGTAATCAGACTTTTTCCATCGACGCCGACCAAGGGGAAAAGGCAAGCATTCACAGCATTGTGCCTTAACCGCCTGCCTTCTTCGACGGTCTGAAGGACAACAGTACAGGCACCACATCCACCTTCGCCACATCCAAGCTTGGTTCCTTTTAAGTTGCCCTGGGCTCGGATCCAGTCTAGGAGAACCCAATCAGGGTTAGGATTCGGAACCGTGACTCGACGGCCGTTTACGAAAAAACATAACTCGGAGGTAGTATATGTTGACTGTATTAGAGGCGTGAGAGCTTCGGCAGCAGACGCGGCGCGAACATCCTGCGGCACGAATGACAGCCCAGTTATAGGCGGCTTCGGGAGTATATCAGCTGCTGCCATAGTTTCACGAGAGCTAATAGAAGGCGAGGATATCAGTAAACGGTGATAATATGAATCCTGAAGTTTATTCTCTTGTCCTGGCTACCTTAGGTAGGTAG